AAAAAAAAAAAATCAGAGGGCGAGGAGCCTCTGCCGCGGCGAACGTCGGGAAAGGGGGCGGGGCGGGAACCGAGGCGCGCGCTCGGAGGGGGCGGGGCGATGACGTCAGCGGGCGGGCTCGCTCGCATTTCCGTGGCCCCGGGAATCGCCGAGGACTCGGTGTGCAAGGGGAGGCCTGCGGGCGCGGAGCGTCTTGAAGCCTTTCCTGAGGGCGGGAATTTGAGGTCGCCTCGGGACTCCTGCCTTTGTGAGTGCTCCCCAGGGAGACTCCGGTATCCCCGAGGTGGCAGGTACTTGCGGAGATCACCCCTCGTGGCCTGTTCGTGGGTGTGACTCAGGTGGACCCATCACTGGGGGGGCTTGGCCACTACACCACGAACCCAGGAAGCCCCCCATTTGTTATTTTAAGGAAGTACAACATATAAAATTGTAAGTGGGTGACCTCTTTTTTTTCTGTTGATCACTGCCCAGAACGTCAGAGCTTTCTTTAAAAACTTTTAGAGAGGCAAAGCACATGAAGAGAGCTAACTTTTAAGTGCAGGGGAGGGGGGACCTTAGGAAGGGCGCTGTGAGACGTTTCACTCTTAGGAAGGTGTGACCAGAGTCCCATATAACCTGGACAATGGTTAACAAAATAAAAACCACGAAATGGAAACTAGAGAAATTGGAGTCTAATTGGAAATAACTAGGGGTTGAATCCCACGTCCTTAGGGGGATGTGGGGAACAACAATAGAGAATTTGGCTGAGGGAAAAAGACAAGATTGTAAGTCTGGACTGAAGTTCCCACCTGACAAAGCAGAGTTCCTGGCTACAATTTGTTCTGGGGTTTGAGGAGGGAAAAAACCGGTTTGAGTGCAAGCTGAATGGATGGCAACTTTCCAAATTGCAGATTGATTCAAGAAAAATCTTCCACAGACTGTGGCACTCAATTCCCAGTGATTGTTTTTGAGTCTAAAAAGGACGATTTGGTCTGCCAAGAAAGCTTGAGAGGGCAAGGTCAGATCTGCTGCCCTGTTCTGGACCCGCTGTGTGAACTGGAGTCCTTTGAAGAACATTATAGCCAAGATCCTGCTGACTGAATGACTGAATCATAAATGTGGGGAGCTCAAACGTAGCCAAGAGCCAAATGATCGTGAACTATTTTAGGCCTCTTTGAAAACTATATGTGTGTGTGTGTGTGTGTGTGTGTGTGTGTGTGTGTGTGTGCGCGCGCTTTTACCTGCTGAGCTGTCTAAGCCCGCCTTGCTTTTAGTAGCCATTTTGACGTTTATTAATTTTATGTATATGAGCGCTCTGTCTGCATGTACAACTTTTTGTGAGAAGAGGACATCAGATCCTACCATGTGGTTGCTGGGAACTGAACTCAGGACCTTTGGAAGAGCAGCCAGTGTTCTTAGCCCTAAGCCATCTCTCCAGCCCTACTTTAACTTGTAATCTTTCTCCTAATTAATAAACTTCCTGAGAGGCATCGTTCAGTTTAGCTTTATCAACCCTACAGCTAAGGTGGCTGTAACATCACATCTGAAATCTATAATTTCCTCACTTTACAGCTTTGCTGTGTGGTCCATCTACTTGATAGTCCCACAAATATAATTGGTCAACATATTGATTTATTATTTTTTTATTTTTTTATTTTGGGGGTACTGTTCTGTGACTAAAAATTTGTGTGGTTCTCTTCCAGGTAGAACCAGTCATTAAGGGTAAATTGACTCTTCCTTGTTTCTGGGCAAAGCTGTTCTTTTATGTCAGCAGTTGGGAAGCAAATATACCTAGGAGATGGCATTTTGGTGAGAGGAGTCTGTCTGTATTAACATACAAAAATGACCACAGAAACAGCCATAATCTACCTAATGTTCTCAACCAAAAGAAATCCTTGAAGGGTAGCTTTCAAAATTATATCCTGTACCTTTCCCAGATTTCACTGTTAAGACCAAAGCTCCCTCCCAAGACTTAGCAGCCTGCACTATTTTTAAAATGCAAAAAATAAAATAAAATAAAAAAAGCCAGGCGGTGGTGGCTCACACCTTTAACCCCAGCACTCAGGAGGCAGAGCCAGCTTGGGCTACAGAGCGAGTTCCAGGAAAGGTGCAAAGCTACACAGAGGAAACCCTGTCTTGAAAAAAAAAAAACAAAAAACAAACAAGCAAAAAGCAAAAAAGAGTTGTTATTACCTTGAATAGTTAATATTTTAAGAGTGTCATGAAACACTTCTCGGTTTCACTTCCTAGTGTGGCTCCCTGCTCTGCTACGGTGGCCTTGCCTGCCCTTCACTCCAGCAGCACCACTGCCTTAAAGGACAGACTTTGCAAGAGACCCAGAATGGCTAGTTCCAGTGAACAGTGGACAGAGGGAAAGCTGGAGTTAGAGAGGAACTGCATTGATTTAAAAAGAGCTCCAGGCCAGGTATGGTGGCTCACACCTTTAATACTAGTGCTGGTCTACAAGAGCAAGTTTGAGGCCAGCCAGGGCTATACAGTGAGACCTTGTGGGGATATTAATTTTGTTTTGTTTTGTTTTGTTTTAAATGAAACAAACAAAAAAATCAGAGCTGGGTATGGTAATATACACATGAATCCCAGTACTCACAAAATTGAGACAGGAGGATTATTTTGAGTTGAGGACAATCTATGCTGCATAGTAAGACTACTTAAAATCAAAAAACAGAAAAAGGGTTAGGTGTATGGCCATTGTCCAATCTCAGCCTCCAGAGTGTTGGGATTACAAGCACCCAGGTTTTTCCTTACAAATTCTAATGGAGATACATTTCTGAGCTAACGTGCCCAGCAGGGCTTCTTTGAGTCTTGAAATAACTAGAGTCAGGTGGTGATGTCACTGGGCCAGTTAAAAGAGGGTGTGTGTGTAGGAAAGAGTAATTGCTCTAGAAGAAAGGTAGGGTGTTGAAACACAATTGAACCCAGCCGGAATTTTGTATAGTAATTTTCTATTTGTATAGTGAATTTGTATAGAAGGTTTCAGATATCATGTGTAGTTCACATGTAACTGCTGCATACCTTATGAGTTACTTGATTTGGTAAGTGAATGCCCTTGAGGAAATAAATGTTCTATGGTAGTCATGAATAGAGATAACGTTTTATTTATTTATTTATTTATTTATCTATCTATTTATTTATTTATTTTTGGTTTTTCGAGACAGGGTTTCTTTGTGTAGCTTTGCGCCTTTCCTGGAACTCGCTTTGGAGACCAGGCTGGCCTCGAACTCACAGAGATCCGCCTGCCTCTGCCTCCTGAGTGCTGGCATTAAAGGTGTACTCCACTACCACCCCCTTGAGATAATGTTTTATATCAATCTGAAATTATAAATTATAGTATCTTCTATGGCAACCTCATTGATGGTTTTATGTATTTAACCATGTTTGTGGGACCAGTGAGATGACTCGGGTGAAAATGCTCTCTACCGTCATGGATGTGACATAGGGTTACTGCCCATCCTGTGTAGGAGGCCGCAGACTTCCTCGAATCCTCCTTTGCTGTTTGTGCTTGCCTTGTGGCATGTACACACACAAAGTGATAAGTAAATGTAAAACAAAACTTTTCTTTTGGTTTTTCAAGGCAGGGTTTCTTTATGTAGCCTTGGCTGTCCTGGAACTTGCTGTGTAGACCAGGCTGGCCTCAAACTCACAGAGATCCATCTGCCTGAGTGCTGGGATTAAAGGCATCTACCACCACTGCCTGGCTTGCTTGCTCATTTATTTATTTGTTTGTTTGTTTATTGTGGTGGTTTGAACCCAGGGCCTGGTGAACACTAAGCAAGCTTCCTCAGTCTCTTTTAGGCTTATTTTGAAGAGGAAGACTGGGTTTCTGAGTGGTTTCAAGGTCATGAAGACAGCCAACACCCAAGACTGGATTCACACAGTGCTCTGCAACTCCAGCTTTGGCTTTGTTCCCAAGGCTAAGGGTAAATAACCGTTCACATTTAACAAAGTCTGTTGTCGGCCAACAATGCCGTCTTGTTCTGGGGCAACGATACGGACTGACCTGGAGCAAAAGGAACCGCCTAGCCCCTGACGCTCTGCCTGCCACAAAACCCACAAAACTATCTCCAAAGTCTTAACACTTTCTGCTAATCCAGCCTACATTATATCCCATGGATTCCAGATATGCAGATGGACAGTGTAGTTCAGCCTCGGATGGGTAGATCTGAACTGAATGTGTAAGGACTTCCTTGTCCTGTAGTCTCCTAAACAGTCCAGTGTAGCATTTACACAGCATGCATATTGTATCAGGAATTACACACTGGTGGTGGCGGCGGCGATGGTGGTGGCCCAGACCTTTAATCCCAGCACTCAGTAGGCAGAGGCAGCCGGATCTCTGTGAGTTCGAGGCCAGCCTGGCCTACAGAGTGAGTTCCAGGACAGGCTCCAAAGCTACACAGAGAAACCCTGTCTTGAAAAACAAACAAACAATTACAAAGGAGGCAATTTCAAGTATACAGAAGGATGCATGTGGCCTATATACAAATACTATTTTAGGACTGGGTGGCAGAGGCAGGTGGATCTCTGAGTTCTAGGACAGCCAGGGCTACACAGTTAGACCTTGTCTCAAAAACAAAGCAAGCAAAAGTATTTTAAGGGACTTTAATGTCCATGGGTTTTGGTATCCATGGGTACCAAATGTCCATTATTGGTGGACATTATTGTTACTTTAAAAATATTTTATCATGCCGGGCGGTGGTGGTGCACGCCTTTAATCCCAGCACTTGGGAGGCAGAGCCAGGTGGATCTCTG